ATAAACTATATGAACACTTGGAAACCAAGAGATTTGGGATTTGCTTTATCTCAGTCTGAAAAAAATTTATATTATCAAAGTATGCTTATAATGTATAAGAAATGGATGTAATTTTGAAATTTTAAGTTTCTTTTCTTATACATACTAATTTTTATGTAAGTACTGTTTATATAGTGATACATTTAATAAACCTGCATATTCAATGCTATTAAATACCGTTTTTTTCTTCTTTTAAATATCTGAAGAGTATTTGTACTAACACTAAAAAGTACACAATGTATAATTCAAGTTGACCAGTTAGAAAAAAAATGGAGGTGAAGAGAATGACCAAAGAATATTTTACATTCTAACTGGGATATAAATGTACATATCTAAATTACATTCAGTTCCATAAATGTTCATTGAATATAAAAAAAAAAATGTGCTTTATTCAAGTGTATGAAGGAAGGACGGACGGACAGACATAATACTCAGCAATTTCAAGAGAGTTTGTAGAAAAGATAAAATTTATTTAAAAAAAAAAATTGGAAGGAGCAAGTTAGAGAGAGAGATAGACATTGCCAAACACTCACTAGCTTGACTAGAATTATTAAATTAACATATTGTCAAGTAAAATGACAAGACATTTGTTACTATGATAGTAGCTAAAAAAAAAAAAAAAAAAAAAAAAAAAAAAAAAAGCCTATATAGCAGTTATTATATTCAAAAGGTAGTTTGTATAGAAAAATGTATGCAAAATTTTCTAATATACAAAATAACAGATATGGAAGCAGATTTTAAGAGGATCACATAAAATTAGTAGAAATATTTCTGATTATAAAGTTACAGATTCTGAAGAGAACAGATTTTCTTAAATTTGGGGAAAAAATAAATAAATAAATAGTAAAACATTTCTAATATCTGATAGAACAACTCCCAGGCTATAGCAAATCCCTGAAGGGATGAGAAAATTTCCCATTGAAGGAAAAAATGAATTAGTTAAAAACTGTTTTAATATCAGGAAAAAAATATTTTAGAAAAATTCAGTTTCAGAATCATTTTTCAAGAGAATTTAATTCTAGTAGTTGTTTATTGCCAAGATATTAAGCTAAATTTAATCTTTATATTCAAAACAGCTGAGATCACACAAAAATATGTTCATTTTGAATCTTTCCACAATTGTCAATGTAAAATAAACTGATCTTCATAAGACAATTTAACATTTCACTATTATAGTTCCTTCTTTGAACGAAGATATGTATGCCTTAGAGGAGATTTAATTTTTATGAACAACCTTTCCACAATGTCAATAAAATAAACGGCAGGAATTTTGATGATATACAAAATGACATTGTCCAACTATTTAACATTTTAATAAAAGCCAGGAAAGGAAAAAAACTGTTACAAATCAAGCCAGAAACCCATGCACACAAACACAGAAAATGTCTTAATGATAGTTATTAATCTTGTTCACATTTTTCCTTCTCTGGTATATTTCTAAAAGAAAGGTTTTGTACAAAAGTAAAACTAAATTTGTTAGGCTTTTTGAATATTCATACAGAATTTTTCTTTTAACATCCAAATATTCCACACTAGTGGATAAATGTAATTTCTTTAGCCAGATGTATTGCAGAGCCCTAAGAAACTCAAGTACAGTATGAATAGGTTGTAAATTTTATAAATTAGCAAGTGAACTAACCATTATAGCTATAGTGTATAAAAGACTAATTCAAAATCTATACAGTACTCTTTGGCTGGTATTTAAGTGATACCCCTGCGTTAAGCAGTTTTGATTGATGGGCCACAACTCACCTCAGCAAAATATCAATAAGAAATCTGAGTATTATTCAGTAAACAAAATAATAATTAAAATTAATTTTTAGTAAATGTTAGAAATTTTGGCCAACATTTTGATAGTAATTAACCGTTACAATCTAGTAGTTTCCGTCGAGATTAAGTAAACACTTAGAATTTAACTAAAAGGAAAAATCTACTGCAATTTGACAACTTTTTCACAACTAGAATAAAACATTAACATGAGATTTATTATCAATTGTTAAATCATTAGTTGAAACCTATTAGACATTTTAAATTGTTCTGCAAGAAAATTATTCTATACAAACTTTCAGAAAATATGAATTTTAGGTTTTAAAAGTATTTCAAGACATTTGGATAATTTTATCCCAAATTACTAAATTAACACCAAATGAAAAATGCTCAAATATTCTGTTTTGAATGTATCCACATCTCAAATGGCTAAATATCAAAATTAATAAAAACTTAAAAATAATAAAAAGATTACTTAATATTTTATTAGCATTATTTTCTAATCAGGAATTTGTGGTTCTTTAGAATACTATCAGCATGAACTCAACTTTTAAAAAATTTTGACAAGTTATATATCATAAGAGTTCAACAAATAAATCTATGCCCAGTTGGTAATTTATTGATCACTGTCTGTCCCAACCCTGATTAGCAAGAGGGTACAATGATCATTTGGTTGGGACAGTTTGAGAGGCACATTATACTGGACTGTTAAGGCTCTATGGATTCAAATTTATATCCTATTACCACCTATCTGGTAGCAATTTAAATTGCTATTCACACAATATTTATATAATATCTAAGAACTATTTTAAATTAGGGAACTGAAAAGAAAAAGCCCATCATGCAAGAGCCATATGCGCACACACGCACATATATATATATGTTTTTATCAATGCAACTATTCTTCTATTTTAAGCACTAACCAGTTGAGAACATTTTAAGTATCATTCTTAAGATAATCAATCACAAGTGCTATAGACACATCTTTACTTTAGCTATTTAAGTACAAAGTTTCCTAAGATTCCTACTAACTGAAGGTTTCTGAAGCCAATTATACATAGGAATATATAGAACTGTCTGGATTTTAGCTTACAACCAAAGTGTAATAATTGTTTGAGAAAGAAAAAACTAGATTGATTTGTATTTATGACTTAACCTTTTGCAGGTTATTTAAAGCCAGGTCCTACTAATTAACCTATAGCTAGGAGGAGAAGTGTATTTGTGCATAAGTGAATATAACAAACCTGACTAGAAGTGGAACTCAGCTCTTCTATTTCCAATTTGTTATCCATTACACCACTTGCACATCCAAGCATACAGCACTTGGTATTCCTAAGTAGTCACCCTGACCTGGTTCAACATTGCTTAACTTTAGTGGTCATATGAGAACTGGTGTTTCAATTTGATATAGCCATAAGCTTAAGAGAGATAGAGGGAAGGCTGATTTTCTGTTGATTACAAAATTGAAAGAGATACTGAAGAAAATGCTCAGATCACTAATATTATCTTTAATGACTTAGTAATCTAATCTAGCATAAAATTCAGTGATCATGAAGACTTGCCAAAACTTCTATTTATTAATTTGACTTAATTCATTTTAATATCATTACTAGCTATTCAAAATAGACAGCCAAATGACAGCACTTTACTGAATCCGTCATCATTTTTAATCTTAGCAACATGGGTATGTCATAAAAATAAGCAGAACAAGAACAAATTTGCAATTTCTAAGAAAATAGAAATCATTTTTTTTAAGCTCATTAAGGCCGAGCAACACTATCAATATTAAAAATATTAAACAAAAGAAAAAAAGTACCAAAATTTATCAGTTAGTAAAATAAACATTAACATGAAACAGTTTAAAGTAATTTTCTGGGTGTTTTTTTTTTTTTTATTTTTTATAAAGTAAGATTAAGGACACAACCAATCAACACATTTCCCTAGATATGAGATAGAGAAAAAAAAAATCCGTTTTGTTTCTGTAATACATTTTACAATGTCGATGCACTTTGTAGCCTCCCTTGTAGACTACCCCACCACATATCTGAATAAAAAATATAACCCTTCTTTGTCCAAGGAATTACCAATATATCTATATTTGAGAAATAATTTTCTATTAATGTGAAAGAGAAATGATAGAGAAATTATAAATTTAAAAAAAAAAAATGCATGCTTTAAGGAATTTTAACAAATTAAGATAAATCCAATCTAAGTCCAAGAAAACAAATGTAAAAATTATGTAAGCATGAAATTTCTTTGTAAAAATGAACTAAAAAAACATTCTTGCTTATAGCATGTTCTGTGGCAACTGAAAATATTTTTCAAATTTTATAATTATATGCAATTATCAGATTGCACTCTATAAAAATGTCAGTGAATTTGTTTGTTTTTTTATGACATTTGCAAATTATAACATTTTCAGAAGCTTCAAATAAAGCATTATTGAAACCAAAATGATTATCAGGGAACAAAAAAGTTTTTAAAATCATTATTTCTAACTTATTTTTTTCAATTGCTGTTGACTTGCATCAATAAAGTTCTAAAATTGTTGAACATAGAAAAGTGATGCCAGCCTTCACTATAGCAATTTTGCCAATTTCATTTACCTTAACAAAAAAAAACAAAACAAAAACAAAACACTAAAAGTTTACAAGGGAGACTGGACGGGGAGAGTAACAGGTGTGTGTATATATATATATATATATATATATATATATATATATATATATATATATACACACACACCTCTACAGATAAGTAATTTTTTTTTATACATAACTTCATGTCACCAGATTCAATATATTGTGATAGGATTTACATAAAGATATCTGCAAAGTTGTATCTGTTTAAAAAGATACATTTGGTGATATGAAGTTACTCCAAGAGAGGATGATGATGAGAGTTATTGTAAGCTCTAGTGGCAGCAACAGCACCATTGCCAAAAATGCTGCAAACAGCAGCCACATGCGTAGATCCTTTAAATCTGATAAGGGGCATAGTACTTGTTACTAATAAGCACCAAATTTTAATTCTGTGGATGTGTCTCATGGTGAACATAACAGGAGGGACCAATTAAGGAAAGAAGGATAGCAGGTATTAAGGGGAATATTATCAGCAGCATTAGTAAAAGTCCAAATTATAAATCTGGGAAGAGAGAGGTAGCTGTCATCTAGTAGATAGAAGAGGAGAATGACCTGATCAAGATATCATGGTACAGGCATCTAGCTTCATTCTTAGATCAGGCTCTATCACAGCTTTCACTTTCTCCAAGGCATCTGGGTAAGAATTGTGCACATTTTGCACAAACTGGACCAACATGTTCTCTGTATCTAAAACAGAAAGAAAAAAGTACATGCAAGTGATTAAAAAAAATTCAAATATAGATTTAAGAAAAATTAGAATGGGTTTAAATTATTTAATTGGCTGGACATTGCAATCATTCTACTTCATGATTCTTAATAATGTAAACTGAAGTGACTGCAGAGAATTTAATGAAATCAGTAACACGCCCCATACATGTTGAATAGAGTTTAAATTTGTTAAGCACAAGGGACAATGGAATACTTGGAAGTCAGCAAAATGTCATCTTCATATGATTGAGGAACAATTGTGTTGTGTTGCTAGAACCATCACCACTAGGAAACATGGAAAGCATAAAGGGGAATGAAAATGGTCTGCAACAAAATCTGTACAAGTCACATCTGTCAAAAGAGACTCCAGTTTCAGTAGTCTTTGCAAGCTTCACACACCATTTCAGAGTCATCACCAACTTGTACATTCTTCTGACTGACATGCAATCTTCCCCACATGAATTTGACCATTGACCTAGAAGAGCATGAATGTGGTTTATCTGATGAGGTAACATGTTAATCTTTCATAGTCCAATGACAATGTTTTCCTGCCAAAGTTAGGCACAGTAAGCAATGTTGCAGTGTCAATAATGGCCAACTTGTTGGTTAATGAGTACAAAATCCCATAGAATAAGGTATGTTGTATGACCAAATCATGCTAATAGCTTGATAGTGAAATCTAGGATTTCTTGGTTTTCTTTGAATTGATTTTGATAAAACTTTTCCCAGCTTGTTTGCATAATATGGCAACACCATTGTTAAGTTTTCATTATTCTGTGTAACTTTTTTTTTCTTATAAAAATGGTGTTGCCATATTGTGCAAACTAGCTGGGAAAAGTTGTATCAAAATTAATTTACAGAAAACTGAGAAATCCTAAATTTCACTACCAAGCTATTAGTGTAGTTTGAAGGTGTACAGTGCTGATAAGTTCAGCAATACCAGCATTGAATTGATACAGGAGTTGATGCAATGTTGTCCTTCACCAGGTGGTTAACTATCCTTTTCCGTCACTGGCAGAACTGTTCTTGCATCATCTATTGATTCCTGGTACAGCCTTGCTACTGCAGAGTCTAGTTCTACAAGTGGGGTAGGACAAAACCATTCAGTGTATTGCAGATTTTAATTTTTAGCACTTCAGTTTACTATCATTGTTGAAGTTAACCTAATTCTTGTTTATATTTTACAACTAGCTTAAAAGCAAGTATTGGGTGGCATTTAAGCTAGCTTCTGCAAAAGGTTCTTGATTGGGCCTTCATCATAATAGGTAGGGAGGAGTAGATGTGATAGGCAACAATAAACTACAGAAGAACACAAAATTGATTGCTGCATTTAAGCATAGCATTAATATCTAAGCTTACCTTTTAAAAGTTCAATGATAATTCTTCTGCCACCATTTAATTTAAAAACAATTTGATGTACGTAGGTCCTTACTTTCTGTACAAACAATTATTTTAAAAAAAAAAAAAAAAAAAAAAAATCCGTGACATCGCAATTAATTTCAATTATTGCCAAATTTATTTCCAAGTTATAAAAATTCTTATACAAAAAAAAAAAAAAAATTCAAAAACAATCAGAGTAATGAGAATTTGGAAATCCACAATTTCAGGATTGCAGGCCTGGGTCCAGCCCAGAAGGTTTTTAATTTGTTCATGGAGTCAGCCCGAGGAATTTCAGCTGGATGTTGGAAACAATATTTTTACAATCACCAGCATTCCTTCACCAACGAATCTGAGATACCAAACAGCTCTATCAAAATATTACTGGAATCTCATTAATGGAGGTTTCACCCCGCAAATAAAATGATCTTACTTATAAAACACAGGTTGTGTGTGTGTGTGTGTGTGCGCATGTGTGTGTCTGTAACGTTTATATGTTGGATCGAATTTCCTACATTTTTTAGCCGATTTCAACAAAACTTCACAGGACTACATAAAATTACCTTTGTGGTGGTTCTAACAGGGCGAAAATGGAAAAAAATACAGTTGTTTTTAATAAAATCAATTTGAAAACACGATTAAGACACATCGTGAGAATGAAAGGGGAGAACTCACCCACGAAAATGTAAACAAAAGAGCATAGCATGATGAAAAAAAGACGCGAACTTGATTTGAAAACAATTTTATCGTCTAATGTCCATATTATTATTAAAGAGGAAAGATCAAAAGTATTTTGGGGTATTTTTTACATTTTTTAATCGTTCCTAGCACGTCTGAAATTTTTTGTTAAAAAATAGTTTTTTTCAAAAAAAAAAAAAAAAAAAAAAAAAAAAAAAAAAAAAAAAAAGGGCAGATAATCATTTTCAATCATTTTTTTCGATTTGATAAAAAAGATTAAAATCTTACTTTGATATTCTTTTAAAAGTCAATTCTCATTTTTCAAAACTGATTTTAATAAAAACAGATATACTGTTTATTTAAAATATTTTGAACCAAGCTTAACTTAGCTTCTCTTGCTGAAAAAATGTAATTTGAAAATAAAACAAAGCAGGTCATAACGTTTTTTTTACGATTGACAAAAGGCACATTCATGACGTTTAGATAACTTACGGAGGAGAATTCTTTCACGGATGGAAGGAAGTGAAATTATTTAAGTGAACAAATTATTTACCTTGTTACTTTTAAGGAAAACTTTCAGCGTTCTAATTTTTATTTATTTATTTTTTTTTTTGTACTTTGCTTTCATTTTTACGTTTACGATGCTTTATGGAAAATATAAAGAAACTAAAAAATAAGACTGTTAATAGTGAGATTAAATTTCATAAGAAAAAGGTATCTAATTAATTTAGGTACCTTTCTTATGAAATTTTATCAGAAAGTATTACATAAAATACTATAATTTTATGTACATTTATTACATTTTACTGTGTTATTTGTATTTCCATTCATTTTATTATTAATTTTGATATTTCATTAATGGAAAAAATGTCATAACTGAGATTAATATAAAAATAAGATCATAAATTAAAGTTTAGCAGTAGTTAAATTTCATAAGATGATACTGTTACTTGTAGGTACCCTTCTCAGTTGAAATTGAAAACTCAAATAAACTTCTCCATACGTGTTTACATAAAAGTAAAGGGCTTAACAGCGGAGAACAATGCTGAACTCAAATAATGCAACTAAATTGTATTCTGGTTGGTCTTCCGTACTTGATAATTACTGTCCAACTATAAACACAAAAATTACATTTCTTAATTACCATGGCTAATCTGATTGGTCCAAATTATACAATTTTCAAAGCGCTAGACAATGACAATCTCACACGGACATTTTGAAAGGTTGATGTTTTTTTAACTAATGTTAAAATATTTTTTAAAATTCAATTTAAACATTTTTAAAAATCTTTAAAATTAAAGAAATAAGAAATAATTGTATTAAAAATTCAATTTTCATTGAAAAATTTTTTGCTTTCAGAAAATATTGTCCATATTCATAAAAACAAATTAAAACAAATAAAAGCATTTGAAACTAAATATATTTGTTTTATTGAGTTTTGTATGTTACAATTCACAGCTGATTTTCAGGTACGTTGCAAAAAAAAAAAAAAAAAAAAAAAAAAAAAAAAATGATTTGCATTCTTCAAAGCCTTGTGCTTTTAACTATTGTAATCACTAAAACCGATGGTCTCGAATTTCTAGAGTTTTTCATAAAATTAGTTATGGGGGTGTTAATAAATATAAAAAAAAAATATTTCTGCCATGACTTTTAATAAAAAAAAAATATTTATAATAATTTCGATCATCTGTGAATAGTTTCTGAAAGTTTCATTAACATCTGACAATTATTTTTATTTTGCAAGATTTTCCAAATTAATGTGTGTAAATACAAAAAAAATGCACTAAAATTATCTGTTATTTACTACCCCTTGTTGCGACAAAAGAGAAACAAGGTTTTTAAATCAAAATTTAGAATATTCTAAAAGATGGAAAACTTTTAAAAAAAATAATTAAAAAAAAATTTAGTCTATCCTCTTCATAAAAAAAATAAGCATTTTGACGATAAAATTTTGTTTTCATAAACTTTGGCGTCTTTTTTCATCAGACTACGCTCTATGTTTTAGCGATTCCGTGGAGTGACTTAGGTTAAAAACCCAGGTTGTTTATGTGTGTGTGTGTGTCCTTTATATATGGGATCGGATTTCTTACATTTTTCAGCCGATAAAACAAACATCCACTTTTTTTTTGGCAGGTAGTATTTCTTATTGTCTTGCACACTTTTTTTTCTTTATTTACATTCAGAATGCTTTAAAATTCCATTTACAAGACAATTGTTTATAATAAAATTCTATTCACCAATCGATAGACTCATAAAGATTGTAAACAATGTTTTTGTTTGAATTTGGGTTTGACCAATTCGTAAAAAAAAAAAAAAAAAAAACTAATTAAGACATGCGTGTCCGTCAACCTTAAACAATAATCTTTGTCAATTTTATTTTTCAGTCTTTATGATGGTCGATACTTGATCTATCTCTTACTGTTATAACGCCGGGCTCTACTGCTAGTCATATATAAAGTTCGAGCTCCCAACAACTTCAGGGACAGATGCAATCTTTGCATCAAAGAAAAGATTATTATAATTAAATATGAGAACACTGATGAGTTACTGAACCAACGCAATGAGCTCGTCTTCAAGTGTAGACTAGAAAATGTGTCAAAATTCTCAAATAACATCTATTTTGGAGAACATTACACTTGAATATTTGGATGTTTTGTATAATACTAACATGTATGAATACATGCAGTTACAGTATTCATGTATGATCTTTCATGTGGTTTCCCTACTTCCACCACGATAACCTTAATTTATGGATCACTTTTACCTGTGTTATCTATTGTATTCCATTATTTTTTATATATTTAAACATTAAATATAACGAACAATGAATGTCTATTATGTCTGATCATAAGCTGTTCAAATGTTTGCTTTAATTTCTGGTGAAAATAAAGACAAAAATTGTCCAACATTTGGATATTTTTTTT